GAAAATTTTCATGTCGGAATCATGTTGTTCATTTCTGCCAGAAATTTATCAGTATAATCTATAAAAGAAATATTCAGAAAATTACTACTTACTAATGAATAGTATCGAGTTTGGAGGAACAGAGGACAGCAGAGTATTTGGAACTCACCTTGCAACTTTTCTAGGGGTGGCAAAAATCCACCATAATTTTCAGGGAGACAGTCTTGAGGAATCATTTTGTACAGATTTTCCATGTCGTCAGCAGTGTGAAACTGGAACTTTTGAAAACAAAAATGTTTTGGCATTGACATGACTCTAAGCTGGGTGAGTAGTCTTCAGCACTTACAATGGATTGGAGTTCTTTGCGAATGAAAGGCCGCAGCATCCGCATGACGCGGTCCATGAGCGGCGTCGTGTTGAGAAAGTGAATCCTCTGCATCCTCAAAGGCAACCCCTCCTGTCGGACATTCATCGATATACTTCATTTTCATTGGTGTCTCTCACTAAACTGCACCACTGAGAACTAAATTGATTTTTTCGGGCTTGGAGGCTTGAGTTCCTCAGCTCCAAGGCCTCAAGACCCATAAAAATGCTTGATGGTTAGGCAGAAAGGTCTACTCTCCACTGGTAGGTCGTGCGCCACTAAGAACTTCACTCGTGATAGCGCCCGCAACCCGTGGGGTAGGCAAACCCGTCAAGCAGCCGTGTGAAGGCGGTGGCCCAGCCTGAGCCTGAGAGCGCCCCAGGGCAACAAGCGAACTAGGGCTGCACCTGCGCGCGAGCAAGGATTTGGCGCCAAGCGTTTCCCCCGCGTCACCCCTACACCGAGACTGTGAACGTGAGTTCATTGAAGGGGCACCTCTTCACCCACCTGGAGGTACCTGAACACCTTCCTTGGCAGGCGGATGCCCCACGCCTTCACCCACCTGGAGGTACCACCTTCCTTGGCAGGCGGATGCCCCACGCCTTCACCCACCTGGAGGTACCTGAACACCTTCCTGGGCAGGCGGATGCCCCACGCCCACATGTGGCTCATCTGCACGGCGTTCATGTCGAAGACGCAGACGTAGCCCGGGGCGGTGGGCTCGGCCCGCACCACGGCGTCCATGGTGAGGAACTGCGCCTTGCTGGAGGACGAGTACACGAAGACGGTCGGGTCCGGGTCGCGCAGGGCCTGCACGATGACGCGGTACCCTTCCGGCGTCTTGTTGGGCAGAACGCAGAAGTAGCTGCGTGACGGGAGGGAGGCATCCAAAGTGGAATCACGGCCACCGGCTCATGGGCCGTTCAGAAACCACGTGGACAATGGGGGGGAGGGAGGGGGGGCAGTCCAGATATTACGGGGTCCCAAAACGATCAGAATAGTCATTGGTCAAAATATCATTGGGTCTCCTTGGATTCCAATGTCCGTCCTGATTCTTTTGGGACCCCATAATATTTAGACCCCCCCCCCTCCCAGTGAGAAATGGGAACATGGATTCAACGTCAAAACATCGGAAAGATGTGGATTTGGGTGACAAAGTGACGTTCCTTCGACTGTTTCGACGTCGAAATCGACATTGAATCGACGTTGAAGATAAATCATATCTTACTGCCCCCCCCCCCTGTCCACGTGGTTTCTGAGCGGCATGCGGGCTCCTGCATCAAGGCTCCCCCAGTGAGAGATGGATTCAACGTCAAAACATCGAAAAGATGTGGATTTGGGTGACAAAGTGACATTCCTTCGACTGTTTCGACGTCGAAATCGACATTGAATCGACGTTGAAGATAAATCACATCTAACTGCCCCCCCCCCCTGTCCACGTGGTTTCTGAGCGGCATGCGGGCTCCTGCATCAAGGCTCCCCACTCACCCCACCCCCTTGGCACGTTGCACCTCCTCGCTGTGGAAGGAGCGGTCGGCGAACACCTCGGGCGTCTTGCTCCGCACCGACTCGTACACGCGCACCACCGCCTTGGCCTGCTCCAGGTCGCCGCGGGAGCAGTGCAGGAAGGCGACGAGCAGCGGCTCTGGAAGCATGCGGCAGTTGCTCGGGCAGTTGTAAGTTGCGTGGGGGAAAAATTATGGAGCACGCCCCTCACAGTGAATATTTGTAAACGAACTGAGAGTGATATAGCTGCAATCGACGCGGCCAACCGATTCGGAGGTCGGTGGTTCGAATCTCTCCATCAGAAGGTGATCCCTAGTTTGATTCCAGGGCCGCCACTCACTATTTTTTGGGGGACCGTCATTTAACCGAGCTCTGACAACCGAACTGCTCCCGCCACGGCTACGCGGCCCGGCTGCTGCTGCTGGTGTATATACATTGCAGGTCGAAGCACGATGTCCTTGCCGATTTCGTGAGCAACATCAACAGCCCGACACAGTCGGTAGTCGACAAGGTTGACAAAAGTTATTATTATTCTAGTTCAAAATTGTTATTATTTCAAGAAAAATTATTCCCGCCTGTTTTTTTTTTTAAATCGCTGATGCGCGATTATTTTATTTCGGTCTGTCGGAATACGGAATCCCTCACGTTGTGGCCTCTGACCAATCCTAGCAGCTCACCCGCAATGTCTGGCAGAATCTCACTCTCCTGACACCAGGACCGCAGCGCATTCACTTGACTCCTCTCGATTTCAGCGTTGTCCCTCAGCGCCCCGTCCAGCGTCCAGCTCCTCGCCGCCTCGGCCATGTCCCGAAAGGCGCACCCGATGGCGTCTGCTCCTCCAGTGAACAGAAAATGAACACACAAATTCAGACCTGGGCACTTGATAGCTTGGGCCGCCTTTTCACTCTATAACTCACCGGTGCCACTGCCGCTGGTGTCGACGGCGTCCTCGAACTGGTCCTGCTCAGGATCATCGACCTCTTGGACGTCGACCGCATCCCTCGAGCCCCCCATGGCAGCCGCTGGCGCAAATGTCGAGTTAGACTTCACCATGCCTGTTCTGACACGACACTCGCCCGAGCCTCTCCGGCCGGGGACGACCGCACTTGCACTCTGTCACAGGGCCCCTGTGCGGCCGGCGCCGCGTCCAGCGCCAGCTGATGCGGAGCGCCGTCTTTATGCGATTCGACCTCTGGGGTCAGCCGGGGCCCGGGAGGCAGCGTGGGCGTCGAGGGCGTAAGAAAATACTCACTGACGCGAGAATTTGTCAGAATGAAGCCCTATGTTCGCCGTCCTCCAAACCCGCATTCGTTAGTAATAACATAAATGAAAACACTCAGCAAACGGCCGAACAAATGTCGTTTCGACGCCAATGTGACACCGATCACGAAATCGCCAAGGCGTTCACTTTTCCTCCATTTACTTCATCACTTTCGGAACGATTTTGCGGAGCTATGCTCGTAGTCGCCGCACTGACCGTCTCCCGCTGCTCGGGCTGCGCCGTCCTCCTGCATCGGCGTCAGGAGAGAAACTGAAGCACCCCCCCCCCCCCTTCCCCTCTCTGAGCCGCTCTGCGCCCACTATCAGTCACTCAACTATCTGACGCTGTCGATAAGAGCATGCTGCAGCAGTGCGCGCGTCCGAGGAGGAAACGCATCGCTAGGTCAGGGTTCAGGTTGGGACCGAACACTCGACTCTCGCTCTAGGTGAGGCTAAGCGTAAGTTCATTATGCGACCCCCCCCCCTCACATCGGTGTTGATCTACTCAGTACATCAAACGATTTCAATCCGATACAACTACACACCAGCAGTAAACGCTTTAATCTAATCTAATATCCAGTACACTCTAAACCCAAAGTCCCCGTCACGACAGACGCCTTAGAGAAAAGCCGTGGCCTACCTCGCAGGCGTCCAAGTGACAAATCGTGTCGCGCCGACAAGTGGTAGAAGACACGTCCCTGTTTATGACCGGAAATGGGGCAACATACGATGTTGGACGCCCCCAGCCACACGCCACCTTTTGTAGCTAAACAGTTGTAGCTACAGTCGTGACCGCATGCAGCAAACCACAACTGTCGGCCCTAAGATTAACTCCCGGGCGGGGCAAATGTTTTCTTTGACGCTTCTTGTCTCCCGTTAGGCAGGACCGAGCTCAGACCTCGATCCCGGAGGGGCAAGCTGGTAGCCGAGCGAGTTAAAGCGTGATCGGTGGCAGAACGTGGGGATGGTCGGTAGTTCGAATCCCGTCCGCGATCATTTTTCCTGCTATGCTGACCATGTGTTTTCGAGTGTCAGCCACAGCGGAGATTCGCAATGTTGCTGGGAGCTGTGCTCTGTATCGGTCTTACGTAGCCCAGTCGGAAGCGATGAGGCCGAGTATGGTGCTTGTCCCTGGTTCTAATCCCGCCTGAGGAATATTTTTCACGCTTCGCTGGCCATGAGTTTTCAGCCGTGCGACACGTGCTGTGATGGGCCGGTAGAAGAGCTGGTCGCGGGTTCGAATCTCGTCGAACGCATTTGTTTCTTTGCTGGCTATGTGTTTTCGAGTGTCAGCCACAGCGAAGATCAGCTTTGTTAATTACAACAGCCTTCCCAGCTCAGTCGGTAGAGCGCGTGATCGGGACGCGGATGGCCGCTGGTTCGAATACTGAGTACCTCAATCCCTATTTTTTTTCGGCACCTGAATTAACTGACCAAGCCTGCAGCAAGATGAGGAAGTGGACCTGACTGACCACCCACATAAAAGTTCGCCTCGACCAGGAATCGATCCCACGCCTGGTGGAGTACAGTGGACCAAGCTCCGGAACGCTCGCCACTCGGCTGTCGACTCCACCTTACGTTCGTCATGTCAGAACCCGGTCCGTCTCAACGGTCTTGGTCTGCCGTGTAAAGGAGGCGATCATGTCCACCTCTTCATCGCGCTGAGGCGGCTGGGGGTACATGAGACTATACTGGACAGAGACTAGAAAACCTGCGACTGGACCTAAGACGGACATGAGACTGGACATGAGACCGAACATGAGCTCGGTCGGAGGGGCACCTAGGCCAAAGTCTCATGTCTGAGGCCGGAAGTCTCATGTCTCCAGACATGAGACGGACATAAGACGGACATGAGACAGACATGAGACTTCCGGCCTCGGACATGAGACTTTGCCCCAGACATGAGACATCAGGGGCAAAGTCTCATGTCTGTCTCATGTCTGTCTCATGTCCGTCTCATGTCTGCAGACATGAGA